AGCCCCGGGGGCGCGGGCCACGCAGCCCGGCGGGGAGCGCTCGGCGGCTCAGAGCCTGCTCACGGCCATCGGCTCGGCCCCTTCGCCCCCCGCGCCCAGCCCGCGACCCCGCGGGGACGACGCCCGGCCCGCAGAGCCCGTGCGCGGCGATGCGCACGGCAGGGCCGGAGCCCCCCGGTCTGGAAGCGCGTCCGGGATGGCCGAGCCCCTTGCACGGCTTTCTAGAGAAGGCCGGACGACCGCGCCGGGCCCGTCCCTGCGGGGAAGACCTGTCGAGGAGAACGCGCTGTCATTCAAGGTGTCGGCGTCTCGCAGTCCGGGGCAGGCGCGTCCCCAGACGCGCCGTCGTCAATCTGCATTTTCACCGGCGGAGCGACGCCGCGATGCCGCGGCCCCAGGGCGCCGGCCACAGGAATAGCAGCGGCTCTGCTTGATATTAAGGGGGGAAAAGAAAAATCTCTGATAAAGAAAAGAATTTCTCAACAGCCTAAAAGCCCTGCAAGCATCGTTTCTCCCGGGGGAGGGGGACAGCCCCTCCTATTCATCACCGGTGGGGGGGTCTGGAGGAGGAGCCACAGGCCTTTTCTTTTTTTTTCTTATGTTTTATTTTCAGTCCCTTTGTTTTGAATAAAAAGATATCTTTGGTAACAAGACATAAAATAAAAGCATACTTAATCATCTAAATATTTAATTGACCCAAAAGATCCCTCCAGTATTAATTGCCTAGGAACGTAACATGCATAACAGGACACAAGCAAATGAATCTCTGCATTTATATAAACAATATGACTAACTTAACAGTTGAACGGTTCTCTTTGTTCTTGCTTCTTTGATTATCATCTGGAACCAAATAGATGTAATGATTTCTCCTTGAAAATATTTTATTTCAGGTTTTTTGTTTGTTTGTTTTTTCCGTTTAAACATTGAATGCCATATGGTACTAAGTGCTGACAAAATAGAGATTAAAAAGATAGTTTCTGCCCTGGGGATTCCAAGTTGGTGGGTGAGAAAGATAAAGATGACCTTATCCATAATGAGATAGGGACACTTTCTGTCACCAAGAAAAGAAAACAATATAAAAAGTGACATGGTCGGAAAACAGGCCAAGCCCAGGAAAGGCTCAATGCTGCCCCCAAGGCCAGGCTCCCCACTACCGCCTGGCTCACCGTCTCCCCCAACTGCCCAAGTGAGAGGACGGCCACGGGAAATCACAGTGTAGGAGAAGATGACTGTGAAGGGGCTACTCAGCATAATATCCTCAGGGTTAAAGGAAACAGCAGATAACGGTGCTCATTAGGATCCCGGGAGGGCCCCCCTACTTTCCTGCTTCATTCCCTGTCCTGGGTCCATCTTTCTCCCATCCTCAGTGAAGGACATTGCCTCACTGCTCCCAAATATTCATCCTTCACCATGTAGGAAATTCAGTCTTAACTGCAGATGCTCACCTGCATCAGGTGTGCTAAAGAACAAAAACTCCACGGCTGAAAGCTTTTCTGAAAGGAAGGGTTTATTGAGCCCAATACTAGCCAGAAAAAGAATGACGTCCTGCAGGGCTGGGAGGAAAAGGCGAGCTGGTCCACTGTCCTGCAGCTGACGGGGCTCTTCTATACAATAAGACGGGGGAAGAAAGATGGAAGGTGTTTTTTTTGGAAAAAATTTACATTGGCTACACATTAGGGGGTCAAACAAGATATCAAAAAGACAAAAATTGCTTGAGACAAATGAGAATGGAAACATACCAAAACTTAGGGGTTGCAGCAGAAGAGTTTCTAGAAGGTAAGCTCATAGTGACACATGCCTACAGTAACAAGAAAGATCTCAGATAAACAACAAACTTTACACTTCAGGAACAAATGAAGCCAAAGTCAGTAGATGAAGGAAATACCGCAGAGGTCACAGCCTAAATAAATGTCACCTACATTGAGTTTGTTGCGGGAGCACTACTATTCCTCATTTTCCTTGAGACACACGAGAAACCGGAGGCCTGAATACACTGAAGTGCTTAAATGAGCTGAGAAGACACGAACCTCTCAATAATTAAAAGGTTCTGAACTCAAAATTCAACCCGGACCTCTCTCAAAGACAGCTGGGGACTGCAGGCATTTCTTTGTGAGAGAGGACTGAGCAAAGTAGGATTTTTGAGCACTGGTAGTTTGCCTGCAGCCAAGAGCCACTGTCCCAACAGAGGTGACAAACTGGATTAAGCTGGCAATAGTGGTAGAGAGGTAAATGCATGGGGATATCACCCCCTCCCCCCTTCATCTGGGTGTGGGCCCTAAGGGGTGTGCTGTCTCAAGAGAATTTACAAACAATAACACAACTGGGCCGGCTGAGTGGCTCAGTTGGTTAAGAGCTCGCTCAAGAGTTTGAGCTCTGAGCAACAGTGGTTCGAGTCAGCCCGAGCTGAGCAGCCGTNGGCTGAGTGGCTCAGTTGGTTAAGAGCTCGCTCAAGAGTTTGAGCTCTGAGCAACAGTGGTTCGAGTCAGCCCGAGCTGAGCAGCCGTGAGCTGTGACAAGAGGTGGCGTGGTGCATAAAAAAAAAAAAAAAAAAAAAACAATAACACAACTGGCTAAAGTGCATGTGCTTTTTATTACTAAAATAAGCTGGAACGTCTACACGATGTCAGTGACAAAAAGACTCCTGCCCCCCTGCAGTGCAGGTGGAAGAGGGGGACAGTTTCCGCGCTGGGAGTGAGGCCTCCCTCACTCCCTCGCACAACTCGCAGCGCTGTGGAGATGGCAGCATGGTGTTAGAACTGATGGGGAAGGAAGAACGTGGAAGAAAAGAGGTTGTGTTATAGGATCACAAAAATGTTTGTGTGGTTATTTAACTGTGTTTCCGGAACCTCCATGAGCCCACAGCACCATGAGAGCAGGGGTTGTGTGGTTATTACTGCAGCACGGCCTCGCTCAGTGCAGGGCACATAGGCATTCAAAATATGAATGAGTGAGTGAGTGAA